TATTTTTGTGGAATTACATTTCTGGGTTTCTAAAGTCCCATTTCTCTTAATCCAGTCATAGAAGAAGTATACCTGGGATTTCAGTAGAGCTAGAAGAAAAGCCAGTGTCCAGGGTTTCCTTTTCATGTTGGAGCCAGGTCCAGTGTAGCATGAGGTTAGCTGCAGTCCATTAGTCCATTGTGTGTGGGGTCCACATGGCTGTGGGCCATGTGGGCAAATCCAGGAGAGTATGCCCCAAGCAATAAGAGTCCCAAGGGTCACCAAAGCACAAGAGTACAAGAGAGTGAATTTATTTGTTCAAGGGATCAGATTTCTGTGTACTTGCAGTGGCCATGCCCATTCTGGCCAACCACTTGTTCCCAGGAGTGACTGAGAGCAAGTATCTTCCCCAATCATCCAAACTTCACTGTTCATGTGTCTATCTTCCCTTTGTGCAGTCCTCTTCCCCCTGTTTTGCAGGGGACATGCCTATAATATCTGGCCTTTCCTTTGCTTCTTTCTTAGTATTAATGATTAGCTAATTACAACAGTATCATTCCCCCCGAGAGAAAAGGAATCTTTTTGTATGCTTACAAAGGAGAAATGGATGAAGGTCTCCATCTTCTTGTAATATTGCAATAAATATGTATGGGGCCAGGTATGAAACATCAAGATGACCAATCTCTAAAGTACATGATTGTCTAACAACCATGCTGTACACCTAAAACTACTACAGAATAATATTGAATGTAAAATGTAACCGAAAAATAAAAAAATATATAAACATACTCATATTAATTAATAATGCAGACAAAAATAGTAATTTAGTATAATGCATATTGTATATGCTTTATTTCCTTTAATCTTAATCAAATAACTAATTATATGAATCAGTAGTTATTCTTTCAGTGTAACTGACTGATAAAATGTCATAGTGCTATTAAGTGCATACATTCTTTATCACTCATATTGGCTTTTGAAAGATAGTGGTTCATATTTGCTGATGATACAATTTATTAATTCTATTACCTGAGCTAAGATTCCATTTATGGCCTGCTTGAAATAATTCAATAATCTCTCCAGGGATCTGAAAACTCAGGTTGTGAAACAATAATTTAATTTAGAAATTTCTGCATGTTCTTATTTCAAGTATCCTGGTTTAATTAAACCATTTTTATCTCTTAGCTACAGATTCATTTTTGTCATAAGTTGCCTCTTCTTATGTAAGTGGGCAGAAACTACTGTTTTAATGGGCCTAAAATACCTGGTTTTTCTTAGACACATTTTCCTTCCAGGCATGGCTCTTAAAATATAAAGACTCCTTCAAAGCCTAGTTCAAACTCTACCTTCTCCATCTAGTCCTCCCTGATAACACGTTTCCTAAATATCTCTGTGACACTTCTTAAAAACAAGGGCTGAGCTATAAACTTCTTTTAATTTCCCACCCTCACATTATAACATTATCTAGTATACATTAATTGTGCAATAATCATCCTTTGAATTTACTATTCAATAGTGACAATGATATGGGAAACCTGAGTGATTAATTTCAAGGAAACAATTGAAGAGGAATCTAATGAATTATAATATTAATAGTATCTAAATGAAGTTGCTACTTTTAAAAAAATGTAATTTTTAGAGGTGCTTTAATTTTAAAAGAATCTCTAAGTATCCCCTGAGGATTAAAATACTATTCTGTGTCTTGGTCATTAATTAAATGATAATTTACAATATTTTATTCTGTTATGGTTATAGTGTTTTTTGTTGTTGTTGTTGTTGTTGTTGTTTTTTAATCTGGGAGGGGAATCTATCAACACCTAATATAATACAACCTGTTATTACTTGGAGAAGCTTCAATGTCTGACTTTACAACCTTCATTCTAAAATTATTTTTTCTTGTAGCTTCTAGGCTCAAATTACTCATGTCCGAGACCTACTTTAGTATTCATCTACAAAAATGAAAGTTTAAAAAAGTGAAGAGATGGTGCGATCCTACTGCTAATCAGTAATGTCAGTAAATTGTGCCCTGATACTACTCTTACTCTCTTTTTTAAAATAACACAGGCCTAGCACATTTAATTAAGAAAACCGTTTTTGCCTCACTAAAATTTTTTCATTGCCTGTTTTCCAAGCTCAAACTTAGTCTGTCATTTTTAATTTTGTGTTCTTTTTTAAAAATTATTTTTATTAATTTGTTTTTGTTATAGATGTTTCTCCTTTTTCAGCCATTGACACCCTCTTCCCCATCCCCCCCACCCCATCTCCAGCATTGTTGTCTATGTCCACTGGTCATACATACATGCATATAAGTTCTATGGTTTATCTCTTCCCCCACAATACCCCCTCTTCCCAGGTTTGTCACTCTGTACCCTCTCTCTATGTCTCTAGGTCAATTTTGTTCAAAAGTTTGTTTAGTTCATTATATTCCACAAATAAGTGAGATCATAAGCTATTTGTCTTTCTCTGCTTGGCTTGTTTCGCTTAGAAAAATACTCTCCAGGTTCCTCCATGTCATCTCAAAGGATAAGAGACCTTTCTTTCTTACAGCTGCATAGTACTCCATTGTGTATATGTACCACTGTTTTTTTTATCCATTCGTCTACTGATGGACACTTTGGCTGTTTCCAGATCTTATGTATTGTAAATAGTGCTGCGATAAACATGGGGGTACACATATTCTTTCTTATTGGTGTTTCAGGCTTATTAGGGTGTGTTCCTAGAAGTGGGATCACTGAGTCAAATGGCAGCTAAATTTTTAACTTTTTGAGGTAACACCATATTGTTTTCCATAGTGGATGCACCAGTCTGCATTCCCACCAGCAGTGTACTAGATTTCTCTTTTCTCCAAATCCTCGCCAGCAATGGTTGTTTGATTAGTTGATGGTGGCCATTCTGACAAGTGTGAGGTGATACCTCATTGTTGTTTTAATTTGCATCTCTCTGATGTTTAGTGATGTGGAGCATTTTTTCATATGTATCTGGCCATTTGTACGTCCTGTTGGCAGAGGTGTCTCTGTAGGTCCTCTGCCCATTTTTTGATTGGTTTCTTTGTCTTCCTTTTGTTGAGTCATATGAGTACACTATATATTTTGGCAATTATCCCCTTATCTCATGTATTATTGGCAATTATGGTCTCCCATATAGTGAGTTCCCTTTCCATTTTGATGATTGTATCTTTTGCTGTGCAGAAGCTTTTGAGTTTGTTGTAGTCCGATGTGTTCATTTTCTCCTTTGTTTCTGTTGCTTTAGGTGATGTATCAGTGAAAATTCTGCTGCGTATGATGTCTGAAATTTTGTTGCCTACAGTTTCTTCTAGGATTTTTATGGATTCATGAGTCACATTTAAGCCTTTTATCCATTTTGAGTTTATTCTTGTGTAGGGTGTAAGTTGATGGATTAATAAAGACTATACCCCATAAACAAGGGGGGATACCCATGTTGGAAATCCTATCCCTCAGTATGATGTGAAATAGTCCCTTAGTACAATTAATTTGTTCATAGCAAATGTATAGAGTGTTACAGCTTCACTACCTAAAAAGCAGGGAAAGGCTTGCCTAGCCAGTGTGGCTCAGCGGTTGAACATCGACCCGTGCACCAAGAGGTCACTGGTTTGATTCCTCGTCAGGGCACATACCCAGGTTGTGGGCCCGATCCCCAGTGGGGGGCATGCAGGAGGCAGCAAATAGATATTCTCTCTCATCAATGTTTCTATCTCTCTCTCCCTCTCCCTTCCTTTCTCTCTAAAATCAATAAAGGAAAATCATTATTTAAAAATGCAGGGAAAGGCTTAATATCAGAATTACTAAATCCATGAATCACTGGGAGCTGCAACAGAATATGGCCAACCCAGGATCCCTGAGGCTTTTACCCAGAAGCAGATCATACTCAGGTGCAAATTTTTGACATTGTATCAAATCTATAACAAGTAAGACTTTTAAATCTTAGAAATCCATTTTAAAGTATATCTTGCTTACACATTGAAGGAATAAGGCCACTATTCTATAAGGTACAGAGAAGCAAGATAAATATTGATCTAGTCTTCTAGTGTTAAATGAACAGGATTGTTCAAGGCTTCAATTAAAGTTCTAGCAATCAATGTTTATTTGAGGCAATGTAAGCATCCCTCTAGAAAGACCAAAATAGCAAAGTGGGCTCAGATCACCAAGAACAAATAGGAAAATTTGTCCACTTCTTGAGGGCAGATCAGCTTCTCCATCCCCAAATTTTAAGCTTGATGGTATATAGCCTCTTTGCCATAGGGGAAAAGGAAGACTTTAACAAAGGATTTGGAGACTTGACTTGGTGTTCAGTTTCATCTATATATGCCCAAGAGGATTCATAATTTTCCTTCTTTGTTTACTATTTATTGCAAGGACCTCAACAACTGTTTTGTTTTGTTTTGCCAGGATTCCAGATACTGTTTTTCCATCAAATTGCTGAATATGATCAACATAAGAGAAATGTGTGTGTGTGTTTTGATACGAACAAGTTTACAAAGGAAAGACATACATGAATATAAGAAACAAAAAATGCAATCAATCACCATTACAAAATATAAACATTTCAAATATACAAAAGCAAAGTACATGAAGATATCTACACACTAAAGTAGTGATCTACTTTCTCAAGCATCAGAATTAACAGGAAATTGCTATCCATCCCCCAGTTTCTGAATAAGTAGGTCTGTGGTGAAATCCAAGAATTTACATTTTAGCAAGGTCCTCCAAGCTCTTGATGCTGTAGATTCAAGGACTGCATTTGGAATCCACTGCATTAGAGTATGGAAAGCACAGTTCTAATCTACTAGCAGAAAAGGATGCTTATCAGCCAGAAATATGAGACCAAGATGTCTATATCAGGGTTAGAATGTAGATTTCCCATAAGTGTTTCTGCTTGAACTTTATTCCTGGAAGCTAATTGCCTCTTTATCTTTAGCAAAAGTTCAGCGTTTTCCTTCCTTGGAAGAAGTGGTAGCTAGTGAGGTAGTCAAGCAGATTAGTGCAACAAGGAGTCTGTTCCTCTTATTCTTTCTGACAGTTTTTCCCTACCTTTGTGCTGTGAAGCTGGGAGTTCTCTTCCCTACCCACTAGCTCTTCAAAAATCGTATTGTGCATGTAAAAGAAGATGTGTCCAGTGAAAAGCCTATCCTCCTGCATCAGAGCCCCCTGGGCACTTGATACCTGCATATTATTATAAGTGAACCAGACTTGCCTCTCAAAGCCATAGACATCACTATATAATGACCTGAATCTGGGGTATTCCCAAGATGGCTTACAACACCAAATAGTCAATAGACGTAACAATCTCTCATCTAAAATTTCTGCTTGGTTTCTTGGCTTTAACTTCTGTCTTCTTCCTACCTAAAAAGTCTTTGTGTTTAAGGTTTTTATTGGTGTACCTACAGAAATCAAATTGGACTCCTGGACATTTAATTCTGTAGGTCTTTTAATGTTCTTTGTACACCACTGGGCATCTGGTTTCTGAAGGCTTTGAAGCAGTGCCAGTCAAAGGAATTGTTTATAGATTATCATTTTTTCACACTGCTTAGTCTGCCCAGCTCAATTATTTGAGAACTCTTCTGAAATTTTGTTTATTTTATCTTCATAAAAATCTTTAGTAGTCTCAGTGACACTATCAACAACTTCAAACATATTGGTTTTCTCATATTTTGGCTTTTTTGTTTTTTACCTGTTTGCAGATTTATTTATTAGATGTAGACAATAATAACTTAATTTTATATAGCACTTAACATTGGACAAAGTACCTATCTCATATTGATTCAGCTACTAAGTTCATGACATGAGGTTAGCAGATGTCTTCAATTTTCAGAAGAAGAAATTAAAGCTCAGACTAGTTAAAAAGCCTAGTGATGAGTATACAGCAGCAACAACACTGGAACCTCAATCTCTGAAATCCTAATCCATTGTTTTTTAGTCATCAGTGTGTTAAATTATTATTTTTAAGTAAGGGTTCCAGGAATTACATTTTATTTTTTTTAATTATTTTTATTAATTTGTTTTTGTTACAGATGTTTCTCCTTTTTACCCCATTGACACCCTCCTACCCATCCCCCCACCCCATCCCCAGCTTTGTTGTATATGTCCATTGGCTACGCATACATGAATATAAGTTCTGTGGTTTATCTCTTCCCCCCCAACACACCCTCTTCTGAGGTTTGTCAGGCTGCACCCTACCCCTATATCTCTAGGTCAATTTTCTTCATTAGTTTGTTTAGTTCACTATATTCCACAAATAAGTGACATCATGTGATATTTGTCTTTCTCTGCTTGGCTTGCTTCACTTAGCATAATACTCACCAGGTCCCTCCATGCTGTTTCAAAGAATAAGAAATCTTTCTTTCTTACAGCTACATAGTATTCCATTGTGTACATGTACCATAGCTTTTTTACACATTCATCTGTTCATGGACACTAGAGTTGTTCCCATATCTTCTCAATTGTAAATGGTGATGCTATGAACATAGGGGTACATATATACTTTCTGATTGGTATTTCAGACTTCTTAGGGTATATTCCTAGAAGTAGGATCACTGGGTCGAATGGTAGTTCAATTTTTAACTTTTTGAGGTAATACCACCATGTTTTCCATAGTGGCTGCACCAGTCTGCATTCCCACCAACAGTGTACTAGAGTACCTTTTTCTCCACACTCTCACCAACACTTCTTGTTTGATTATTTGTTGATAGTAGCCATTCTGAAAGGTGTGAAGTGATACCTCCTTGTTGTTTTAACTTTCATCTCTCTGATGAAAACTAATGTTGAGCATTTTTTCATATGTCTCTTGGCCATTTGTATGTCTTGTTTCAAGAGGTGTCTCTTTAGGTACTCTGCCAATTTTTTAATTGGGTTCTTTGACTTTCTTCTGTTGAGTTATATGAGTACCCTATATATTTTGAAAATTAACCTCTTATCTGATACATCATGGGCAATTATGTTCTCCCATGTAGTGGGATCCCTTATCATTTTGATGGTTGTTTCTTTTGCAGTGCAGAAGCTTTTAAGTTTGATGTAGTCCCATGTGTTCATTTTCTCCTTTGTTTCTGTTGCCTTAGGTGATGTGTCAGTGAAAATTATGCTGTGTGTGATGTCTGAAATATTGTTGCCTGTATTTTCCTCTAGGATTTTTATGGATTCATGAGTCATATTTAAGTCTTTTATCCATTTTGAGATTATTCTTGTGTATGGTGTAAATTGATGGTCTACTTTCATTGTTTTGCATGTAGCTGTCCAATTTTCCCAACACCATTTATTAAAGAAGCTGTCTTTACTCCACTGTATGCTCTTGCCTCCTTTGTCAAATATTAATGAAGCATAATGTCTTGGATCAATTTCTGGGTTCTCTATTCTGTTCCATTGGTCTATTTGCATGTTCTTGTGCCAGTACCAGGCTGTTTTGATTATAGTGGCTTTGTAGTATAACCTGAAATCTGGTAATGTAGTCCCTCCAACTTTGTACTTCTTTTTCAATATTGCTGTGGCTATTCGGGGTCTTTTTTGGTCCCATATGAAGTTTTGAAATATTTGTTCTAGTTCTGTGAAGTATGCTGTTGGTATTTTGATGGAGATTGCATTGAATCTATAGATTGCTTTGGGTAGTATGGACATTTTAGTGATGGTAATTCTTCCAATCCATGAAGAAGGTATGTGCTTTCACTTTTTAGTATCTTCCTTTATTTCTTTTTTCAATGACCTGTAGTTTTCTGCAAATAGGTCCTTTATTTCTTTGGTTAAGTTTATTCCTAGGTATCTTAATTTGTCTGCCACATGGTAAATGGGATTGTTTTATTAGTTTCTCTTTCTGTGAGTTCATCATTGGTGTATAAGAATGCCATTGATTTCTTGACGTTAATTTTGTATCCTGCTACTTTGCCAAATTCATTGATTAAGTCTAGTAAATTTTTTATGAAGTCTTTGGGGTTTTTTTATGTATAATATCATGTCAGCTGCAAATAATGACAGTTTCACTTCCTCCTTTTCAATTTGGATCCCTTTTATTTTTACTTAATGTCTGATTGCTGTGGCTAAGAATTCCAGTACTATGTTAAATAAGATTGGTGATAGTAGGCATCATTGTCCTGTTCCTGTTCTTAAAAAAATTATTTTAGTTTTTGCCCATTGAGTATGATGTTGGCTGTAATACTTTCATATATGGCTTTTATTGTGTCGAGATATGATCCCTCTATTCCCAGATTGGTGAGCGTTTTTATCTGAAATGGGTGCTGGATTTTGTCAAATGCTTTTTCAGCACCTATTGATAAGATCATGTGGTTTTTATTCTTCATTTTTTTTATGTGGTGTATCACATTTATTGATTTGCGAATATTGTACCAGCCTTGCATCTCTGACATGAATCCCACTTTGTCATGTTGAATAATTTTTTGGTGTATTGCTGGATTCGATTTGCTAGTATTTTGTTCAGGATTTTGGCATCTATGTTCATTAGGAATATTCGCCTGTAGTTTTCTTTCCTTGTAGTGTCTTTTTCTGGTTTTGGTATTAGAATATGCTGGCCTCATAGAACGAGTTTGGAAGTCTTCCTTCTTCTTGAATTTTTTGAAATAATTTGAGGAGAATGGGTGTTAGTTCTTCTTTGAATGTTTGGTAAAACTCCCTGGTGAAGCCATCCAGGCCTGGGTTTTTGTTTGCTCTAAGAGTCTTAATTACATCTTCAATTTTCTTAGTTGTTAATGGTTTGTTCAAGTTTTCTATCTCTTCCCAGTTCAGTTTTGGGAGACTATGTGTTTCTAGAAATTTGTCCATTTCACTTAGATTGTTGAATTTTTTGCCATATAATTGTTCATAGCATTTGTTAACAACCCTTTGTATTTCTGTGGTGTCAGTAGTTACTTCTCCATTTTCATTTCTGATTTTGTGTATTTTGGTTCTCTCTGTGTGTCTTAGTGAGTCTAGCTAAGGGTTCATCAATTTTGTGTATCTTTTTAAAAAATGAACTCTTTGTATTATTGTTTCTTTGAATTGTTTGTTTGGTCTCTATGTCATTTATATCTGCTCAGATCTTTACTATTATTTTTTCTTCTACTTACTCTGGGGTTTTCTTATTGTTTACTTTCTAGTGCTTTAAGTTGTAGGGTTAGAAATTCAATTAGGAATTGTTCTTGTTTCTTGAGGTAGGCCTGTAGTGCTATGAACTTCCTTCTCAGGACTGCTTTCGCAGCATCCAATAGATTTCTGTGTTGTTGTGTGTATGTTTTCATTGGTTTGCAGGAAGTTTTTAATTTCTTGCTTGACCTCCTTAGTAACACATTCATTATTTAATAACATGCTATTTAGCCTCCAAGTGTTTGAATGTTTTTTTGTGTTTTTATTGTAATTGCATTCCAGTTTCATGCTACTGTGATCTGAGAAGATGCTTGATATGATTTCAATTTTCTTGAATTTGTAGAGACTTGCTTTGTGTCCTAACATGTGGTCTATCTTTGACAATGTCCCGTGTGCACTTGAGAAGAATGTATATTCAGCAGCTTTCGGGTAAAATGATCTATAAATATCAATGAAGTCTAACTGATCTAGTTTGTCTAGTAAGGAATCTCTGTCCTTGTTAATTTTTGTCTAGAAGATCTATCCAATGGTGTCAGTAGTATGTTAAAGTCACCCACTGTGATCATGGTGCTACTGATCTCTCCCTTGCAGTCCTCCAGAAGTATTTTAATATATTTTGGTGCTCCCATATTTGGTGCGTATATTTTTACCAGGATTATATCCTCTTATTGGATTGATCTTTTTAATGTTATCTAGTGACCTGTTTTGTCTCTCATTATGGCCTTTGTTTTGAAGTCTATCTTATCAGATATGAGTATTGGTGCACCAGCATTATTTTCATTTCCATTTCCTTGGAAAATTTTTTGCCATCCTTTCATTTTCATCCTGTGTGAGTTTTTTGTTGTGAGGTGGATCTGTTGTAGACAGCATATATATGGGTCATGTTGTCTTATCCAGTCAGCTACACTATGTCTTTTGATCAAAGCATTTAAGCCATTTACATTTAAGGTAATTATTGATATATAGTTATTAGTTTCCATGTTCATTTTATGCCTGTGTTGCTCGCTCTCACTCTTTCTCTCTCTCTCTTTCTCAGTTTCTACTTCTTCTTTTAACAGTCCCTTCATCATCTCTTGCAATGCTGGTTTGGTGGTGGTAAATTCTTTCAGCTTCTTTTTTAATTTGTGAAGTTTTTTATTTCTCTTTCAATTTTGAATGATAGCCTTTCTGGTTAGAGTAGTTTTGGATTCAGACCCTTGCCTTGCATTACTTTGTACACTTCATGCCACTCCATTCTGACCTGCAGCATTTCTATTGAGAAATCAACTGTCAGTCTAATGGGAGCTCCCTTGTAGGTAACTTTCTGTCTCTCTCTTGCTTTTTTTAAGATTCTTTCTTTGAGGCAATGGTGGCAGCTAGCAGTCATCTTGATTAGTTACCAGGAAGCTTTGGATGTAGGCATGCGTGTGCACACGCGCTCGCACACACACACACACACACACACATGCTCACATTTCTTGATTAAAAAAACCATTTAGGGAAGGTGGACTACCAAACACGAGCAGTGCAGAGATGTGGAGCAGAACGTTCCTGTTCTATGGACAGGAGCAGCCAGCTACAGGATAAGAGGCCCTTCAGAGCACTTCTCCT